CCAGGGTTAGGGCATCCACAGTTTCTCTGGGCAGCCTGTTTCAGTGTCTCACCACCCTCAAAGTAAAGAATTTTGTCCTAATAGCTAATCTAAACCTGCACTCTTTCACCTTGAAGCCATTCCCTCTTATCCTGTCCCTACAGGCCCTTGTGAAAACTCTGTCCCCCCTTCTTTCTTAAAAGCCCCCCTAAAGTACTGAAAGGCCACAAGAGCGTCTCCCTGGAGACCTCTCTTCTCCAAGTTGAACAACACAACTCTCTCAGCCCATCTTTATAGGAGAGGTGATCCAGCCCTCTGGTCATCCTTGTGGCCTCCTCTGGACTTGTTCTAACAGGTCCATTACTTTCTTGTGCTCGGAACTAAACAGCTCTGGCACTGATTGCACTCTAGTTTCTAGATGTAGGATTAAGATATCTTTAATTTGTTCCTGCACTTTGAAATGTTTGTTCACTTGCTTTCCAGTTAGTCCTGGTGTTTATAGGTTAATAGTATTGCCCTTATCTTTAATTTAAAAAAAAAAAAAAAGAAGTTGTTTCATTGCTAAGGTCAGATTAAGTCTTTCCCATGTATGCCATTCAAAACACAGACACAGGGCTTTCTCCCTGGTCATTCCTGGCACCAGTATTTCCCAGGAGCCTTGAAAGCTCAGCCACTCTTTCTGGAAGAGGAAATCAGTCATGCACCTTCATCAAGGACTGTGCTTTTACCTTCCTATGGTAAGACCTGAACTGAGAACCCCAGCTACTGACTGAGAACAGGGGCTTGTGCATGTGAAAGACCTCTATATTGTTCAGTGGCCAAGGAGTATGAACCTCATTTTCAGAAGAAACCAGAGGGAGCACAGACTTCTGATCAAAGTGCCAGGCCAACTTTTCTTGGCTCCAAGTTCTTTTGGGCTCCTGTTTGGTGGATAATCTCTTCAAAGGCATATAGGTCTGCAGTTAGGAAAAGGTGGATGAAATGAGAACTGTCAAAATCACCAATAATGTGTGATCATGGCAACAATCAAAATAACTCATACAGTTATAATAACAACAGTGTTGTTATTATAAAAAAACATCTACATTGTCACAGACCATTCCTACATCCTTGTGGCTTAAAGACATGTTTTTTGTCTCTTATTTTACAGCAAGCTAGAAAGCCCTATGATGTCCGAGATGTTATTGAGCAGTATTCTCAGGGTCACCTCAACCTGATGGTGCGAATCAAGGAGTTACAGAGGAGGTATGTCCAGGAATTCTGTGTTGGTATCCATGAACAGCAGCAGAAGGATGTTTGTAAATCAGGCAGTGATTGGGGCTCGCGGATAAAAAGCTGATGGTGTTGAAAGTGTCATATTGGTAGGACTGTGTAAAGTTAGTGAATATAAAGTGGCATTTGAGTAAATATTTCTTTTCCCACCGGGAGGAGAAGGCAAAAACCTTAAAAATCTGACAACTGAGACTTACATGTATAACCTCAGTTCCTGCTAGCTTTGGCTATACACTGCAATTCCTGCATGTTAGGGAAAGTGTTATACCTAGAGAGTGCAATACTGTCACCAGCTCTGGTAGAACTGCACTTAAGAGCAAACTAAGAGATGAGAGATGAGTGCAACAAAAAAGCTGCAGAGGAACTAGGAAAAGAGGAAACAATGCTGATCACTTGGAAAAGTGATGGGCATGGTGAAACTTTACAGTTGTTAAAGAAGCTGTGGACCAATCTAGGTCTAATCCCATTTTTTAATTAATTTTTTAATTTTAATCTATTCTTAGCACAAAGCAATGGCTTCACTTACAGGACAAACCAGAATTATTTGAACTTTACTTTGCTTGTCTGTGAAGAGGCCTCCCTGTGCCAGCTGGAGAAAATGAAGATGCTGGTTTAGCTAATAAAAAAATAAAATTTATTCTTTTTGATTAATAGGTTGGACCAGTCCATAGGGAAGCCATCTCTTTTTATCTCTGTCTCAGGTAAGTTAATACAAAGGACATGTCTAAAATTAATCTGATAAAGTTATAATTAATGGAAAATACTTGTTAAAATACTTTTCATTTTATTGCCAAATTTTTAAACAATGTCAACCAGTTGTGCTCTGAGGATTAGGCATTGGCAATAATATTTAGTCATCAACATTTTTAAATTAGGGTTGTTCTTATTTAAAGCACCCACTTGCACCAAAGGTTTTGAAATGTTTGCTCTAGTCTGAGACTCATCATATTTTCAATAAATTGGTCTGCTAAGATTGCAGAGTTCCTATGGAATTGGTAATATCCACATAGATCTTAGGTAGATTTGAAAAGAAATTGGAAAAGGAGCACAAAGGACTAAGTTTGTTTGTGGCAAATCTGGCTAATGAAAACTCTCTGTTTATGTCATTTGAAAATTCATTTTCTATATAGTTTATGGGAGGGGGAAAAAGATAAAATGTTGCCCAATGTGTTATTTCAAGTTGTCTGTAGAGTCCTTTGTGTAGTGGCAGATTGTTTTTAAGTGGCAATTAAAACATTAACTAAATTGGGAACATTTTTGTTCTCCCTGGTTAAAGCATTAAAACTAAGGTTGAACATACCTTAAACTTAAGGGCAATTAAATGCTATGGCATGGGCCAGTGCTATAAAAAGAAATAAAAACTACTTTTAAGGAATAGATCTATCAGCCTG